GTAATAACACAATGTACGGCTCTACTGTCCCCCTGATCATCTGCGCCCTTGCCGTAGGCCTAGCCACAGCCCACGCAGTCCCAATTGATACGACCATTGATCCGAGATCTCTCGATGAGCAAGGAAGAGAGAAACAGCCCTGGGCAGCCCACGACGTCCAATGTCACAACGAAGCCGACTTCCCGGGCCACGCCGATATCAACCCCAGCATGCAATGGGAAGCTTCGTTGAGTTTCTGCGCCAGCGACCAGGGCAAACGGATCTTCACGACGTACCATGACCCGGCGGAGAACCATTATCCGGTTGTTTTCAGGTCGCGCTACAGGTGGAAGGATAGCTGGAAAATCAACTACGACTTTTACGTTCAGTGGGTGGCTGGCTGCAGAACCGCGTTCGGTGCGCAGAGGGTCGATGATCCTTTGCTTAGCAAAGACGGAAAGCCGTCCTGTGCATCCATCATGAATGGCAATTTCAAGAAGTGTAAGTCAACTCGGGCCACGACATCACTGGATTTCAACCTTCTTAAGCAAACGAGCAAAGTCGAAATCGATCGCTACAATATCTGGCACTGAGTTAATCTTGCAATATTCAGGCAATAACGGTGGCGTTGGCGGCGCAACCCAAGTCGGCTGTCTTCTCTACACTTTTAACGGTGGGAAAGGCGATAATCTACTTACGGTGGCTGAACTTGAACATCGCAAGATCTACGACGAGAAGTACAGCATCACGAGGGGACCAGACCCTTGAGTCAGACGTAGACTTCCTCATCACCTGAAGACTTAGCACGTTCTGTGCTTGAGAGAGGGTATTTAGGACAGGTATCGTGGTCATTGGACGATATTGCGCTAGTTGAAGGCTCTGCACTGAAGATGTGGTACCTCTTATTCTATAATTCTCAAGTTAGTCTAATCCCAGGCAGCTATGTTGAGGCTCTTCCTCAATTGCATAGCTTTTATGTTTCAGTTCTCAGGACGGTCGATACTGTTGTGATTTGTTACAGCTTCTGCCTCCCTGAAAGGATGCATCTTAACGTCAGACAGTTTGGGAGTTGGCCTATCTCACTATAATTTGTTCCATAATCACGATCCTTAGTGCCAATAATTTTACATACCTGCCACGCGGCAACAAACTTCTCATCTAATGCCCTTAGAAATCCACCGCCTTCGTAACAAATCTAAGGCGTGCATTGCATTTGAGATGATTCAATGCCTTCAGTGCCTTGCAGATATCAGATAGTGCAGGCTGAAATGTGCTGTCATTTCCTGGTCTCTCTTGACGCTCAATTTAAGAATTCCGCTGACCTATTACTGCGTCCCTTTCTTAACGTGTCCACAGAAATTTCGATTGTGAGTCTTGGTTAGCGACATTTAGATCGGCTCTTTGGATCAGTTAATCTTGACCTGTTGATGGGATTAGACTAGACATCGCTTGATTTTTCTTATTTGCAACACGCATTGACTTTACTCATTGAAGCATAATCTAGTTGATTACAGTTGTTGAGGAAGTTAGGTAATTTCTCAATTGTGGTATGAAGTCCTGAAGTTATAGAAATTGCGTCGTTGTGAAGAACCAAGACCAAATGCGATTGGTAGCCTGCAGCTTATGGCTTCGGAACCGTTCCGTGGCGGCTCGATAGGTGAGTAAAATCACTGAAGTAAGTAGTGTGGTGTGCAACAGTGTAAAGTAATTGTGAGCCCCTCAGTCCAAACTTGCTGTCCAATTCATGGACGCCTATTCAATTATCCTAATAAGAACAAAATTTCCTTCAAAGCTCTAAAGTCTCTGGAATTGCGCACAACAGACGGAGGATGTCTGTCACTGAGTAATTGCTGCAATATTGGTGGCTCATCAAACCCCACGAAGCAAGGCGGGTGCGGGTAACACATGCGGGGAAATGTGCCGGAGCCCGGATCCCAGTCGGTATTCGAGGGTAGCACACTTCGTACTTAACCCCCACTCTTCCCCCAGCCTGTCGAGTCGCGGTGCAGCATAACTCCTTTGAACTCTAACGGTGGCCAACCTCCTGGCCCGATATTCTGTCATTTCCGCGACTCATCTCGCACTCCACAAACTACTCAAGATGACAGTAGAAGACGAGGACTTTGACCTGTCAGGTAACGAAGAAGCGCAGTCTCCCACGACAACATCGGGAGCGCGCAGGAGGTCGGTGGCTAGCTCGACGCATCCCACGAGGTCCAAGCGTGCCAAATATGCAGCCGCTGCTTGGTGAGTGAAACCAAGTCTCAGAATTTCATAAGTGGAAGCTTACCATGAAATAGCACCGAGTGCAAGAAACGGAAACTCAAGTGCATCAGGTTAGAAAACGAGGAAGAATGCCAGAGGTGCATGTCAGGCGGCGTTCCCTGCACCTTCGGCCCAGCTCCTTCGCAAGATGGCGCGACTGGTGTCAGGGAAAGGGTCAGAAGTAGGAGAAAGTCGAGGCAGAATAGGTCAGTATGCCCTATTGTTCAAGTATGCTCAAATGCCTTGTTTTAAATGCTAATTCGCACCCAACAGCCAGCCAAGTACTGATCTCCGGAGCGAGCTCTCTGTGCTCAGAGAGCAGGTGGCTACCCTCGCAAATACCGTAGGAAAGCTGGCCTCGGACAAGAGCCGTCAGGGAATGTCAGCTTCTCCAGGATCCCAGCAACAAATGTCTCTTCACGACAACTCCTCTGTACAGGGAGAACAAGAACCGAAGCAACCACAATTTGTGGGACCCACCAGATCAGCGTTTAGTCTCAAGGTTGCCGAAACGTCCTTAACGAGGATGGGGATCTCAGCCCAGGATCCGGTCACGGCAGCGGTCAGCGAGTCTCTTGCACCGACCCGATACCCGACCCCCGAACAATCTGAACCCCCGCAGTGGGCACCTGGAACAGATATCCTTCTCACTATGCCACTTGAGGAATTCGTGAGACTTCTTGAAGTTTTTGAGGAAGAGGTTGAGATAGTCTACCCCTTTATCGACACGCGTGAGATGATTTCGAAAGCAGCAGATATTCGTGCGTACGTGGAAGCAAATACAGATTGCATGGCACCTGGCACCATGACAGGCGGGAGTGTAGACATCAAAGATGTCATACTCGCAAAAGTAGCTATAGCCATAAGCATGGTGGTCGAGGCGCATGGCAAGAACTTATCAAGCAGCAAGCTGGTTGAACCTGTCAAACATCTGATCTACCAGCTTACGCTCGATGCGGAGGCTGACCTCAAAGTCATTCAAATAATGGCCATGATTGTAAGTCCGACAGACCCGTGGTTTTGGTAGTGGAAGCGGCTGACACTATGAAAGAGTATCTACTACTTCTTCTCAGACGAGGAGTTACTCGCATGGAGAAACATTGGCATCGCAGCGCGAGCATCTCTGGAGATGGGCTTACATCAGAATCTGAGTCTCACAGACAATTTTCCAGATCCCAAGACGCGGAGTCTAGCAGTGCGGGTGTTCTGGTGCGTTTATGTATTGGATCGTCGCTGGAGTTTCGGAACCAGTCTATCATTTGCCCTGTTTGACCGAGATATCGATCCAAACTTGCCTGAGCCAGTGAGTAACCCTACAATTTCGTAAGAAGCTACTTTGCTGACCTGAGTTCCAGTCTGAAGATTTCCAGTACCTTCGTTGTTTGATAGGTTACGGGCGTTTATGCTCCAAGGCATGGGACGCTCTGCCTCCATTCAGCGCACCATCTCAGTCTATTCCAAAAGACACGGTTGCGTTCCTTGACTTTACAGCGCAAACTTGGCTCAAATCAATACCCCCTGATCTTCAACTACGACATCCGCAACATGGCAGTATACCGACAGCTCAGCCCCGATCCATCCGCCGGCTACGAGCCCTCTTGTACCTGCGGGGCAATCACATAAGAACTCTGATACACCGACATCATGTCATCAGCTCTGCAAGCATCGAAGCTGATGTCGAGAAGGCACGTCTTGTCGTGGATATTGCTATCGATAGTATATCCGTCTTGGTTCATCTGAGCGAAACGAGCGATATCTACGAACGGCAGCAGAGCGCGTTCAACTATTTCCTGTTGAGTTCCCTGGCGGTCATCTTTCTTGCCGTCTGTCATGGCACCAGAATATTTGCCGAACCATGCAGAGACAGCTTCCTCGCCGCGGTGGAGCTCGTCAAGTGTTTCTCTCGCCAGGGAACAGCCAGTCGCAGACTTTGGAAGAGCATACGGGGTCTCTTGCCCCTAGCTCATCGCATCGGGCTCCGCGGTGATGAAATTGCTGGTGGCCGACGTGCTGATGCAGGCGCGCAACAATCTTTGAACATCATCTCCAGTTCTTCTCACCCCATGGACACTGTGATTGAGGAGGAGAATCCCACGTCGGCTGTGGGTTTGGACTCGGAGTTTGCCCCGATGCCATCGGTACAACCCATGGGTATGAGTGCAGAGTTCGGTGCTGGAGCTCCAGATGCATTTGTTCTCAGCAACGACCTAATGTTCCTCTTCGACGCTTTTGGGCAGACTGAGGACATATGGGCAAATGGGATGCAGGACTGCGTGAATGGCAACGAGCAGCAGCCACCATTGTCTGGAGAGGAGGAGATTTCACGTCATTTTTGGGGTTTGATTTAGACTGCTCTTATGGAATTGACCAAGGACTTTTTTCAGCACAAGTCTTTGTGAATGTAAAATTACGACTACTCGTCGCAGTCTCTGGCAGGAATGGGTCGCAAAATTGTATTATCAGTGAGCAGGGTAGCAGGGCAGCAGGGAACGAAAGCATTGAGCCTTGGAATTTCGGGGTCTTCATGTGTATGGTAAAGCGTCCTTAACTGAATCAAGTCATCCTTCTCTCACAATCAGGATGCTGGGGATGTAAAAATATATCTTGATCTTGAACGAAATCTTGCATTTGGTATTCATCCCCTATCTAATTGGAAACTCCCTGTCAAGCTCACCTCCTCCAACCTCCTCTCCTCCCATTTACATCAAGTACTTTCATCTACACCATCGCCCATCAACTATCCAAAAGCGCACCCATTACACCTTCTCTTCGGTCGCCTTCAGCACATCACTCAATGTGCTAGTATCGCGAGGCACAAATCTCGCCTTGTACGGCCTAGGCATTGCTACAAGGGAAGTAGGATCGGCGTTGCCAGAAACGGGATGGTGGTCCACATCGTCGTGCTTCTCAATCTTGAAGCTGTTGAGAAGTCTCATGTAGACGAGGTAGAGCTCGCGGTTGGCCAACAAAGAGCCAGCGCACATGCGGTAGCCGACGCCGTATGTGAACAACGGCGCGTCAGGTTGCTCGAACCACCGCTCGGGGCGGAAGACCTCGGGGTCGGTCCACACTTCAGAGTCTATGGGGTGTTAGTGGAGTACTTGAAAATTGAGGCTCAAGGTGAAGTATATGTCTTACCCATGTTGCAAGCCCACGCGTTGAGGAAGATGACTGATCCTTTGGGGATGACGGTCTGTCCGTAAGGAACATCACGAACCGAAGCTCGGGGAAGAGCAAGGCGAAGGACAGTGTAGTATCTCAAAGATTCTCGCACCAAGGCCACGATGTACTTGCACTGTTGGTCGTCCTCGGCGTCGCAGAGAGGTTGCTTCTCGCTGTAGAATTCTCTAATTGCGGCCGCAGCCTTGTCTTGGATGTCTGGGCGCTGAGAAAGCATGGCGATGAACCAAGCCACCTGGGTCGTGATGGTGTCGAGTCCTCCTGACAGCATTGTCAAGCTGATGGAGGTCAGCTCCGCCTGGTTCAGCTTCGCATCCTTATCCATGATGACGTTGGCCTGGATACAGGGCTTGTGAGTGCCGTTCGCCATGCGCTCATCCAGACCTCTGTTCAGGGCGGTCAAGTAGACATCGCGTCTGCTGCGCATCTCTCGTGCCTTGGCGGAGTGCATGTTGATGGGGTTAATGCGCAGGAGAGGGATGTAGTCCTGAAGGTTGCCCGTAGTTGAACGGAAGCGGCTAATCTCCTCTTCGACGTGAGTGATCTCCTTGAAGAGGTTGTCCTTCTGACTGCTCATGCGAGTACCCCAGTTTAAAGTCAAGGCAAGGGACAATGACAGGCGTTGAATCATTGGCATGGGATCAACGGGAGCCTGTCCAGCCTTTCCATATTCGTAAAGCTCCTTAATGAAGTCTCGCGATTCGACATCGAGATGCGGCACATAGGTGGCTACTGAGGGTCGGTTCAAGGCTGAAGCAGCGCCTTTGCGGCGACGCTTAAGAGAGTCGCTGTAGGGAGATGTACCGATGGTCGTTCCAGCCGTATCTGAGAGAACCTGAAGTCCTTCAATCAGCCTCATTGCCAAGGTATTGGTCTAAAACACCATGCTATGTCATCATCTGCTTACATACCTTGTGGAAAGTGTAAAACTCTGGGCGAGAACTGAGTGCCTGAGCATTCTGTCCGAAGAGAGCCCTGGCCGCAGAAGCAGAGTTCACGACAACAACAGGAACATTGCCTAGTTGGATCTGGTAGACAGAGCCAAACTTCTTGGCCCATTTACGGTACTGCTCAGCCGCGTTGACCCGGATATCCCACAGGTTGCCGATGAGTGGCAGCCCTCCAGGACCGTCTAGTTTTGCTATCCTGGCCTTGGAGCGAATGAATTCATTTGCAATGACGTAGATGAGGGGTAGGAGGAGAATTGAGATGGCAGTCGACTGCAGAGCGTGGTCAAATATTCTTTGCTTCAAAGCAAAGACGGCAGTTGAGATGGCCATGGCGTCGAATTGAGATGTTTCTGTGCTTCAACGTGTTGTAGACGATGAATTATGTTGTAAATCTGATTCAGTACTCGAATTCGCTAGCTAACCACCACCTCCATGATATACGGACAGACCCAGCTCACCGTGCTTACCCGGCTTCAGAGCCGCTCTCTGATTCTCAGAAGCTTTCCTGCCGGGTCCCGTCGGTACTGTCCTTCCTGGCAAAACGCCATCTGGAAACAGACCTCTCGGAACTGGTTTATTACAAAGTACACTAATTCCCCGCGTTCCCCACCCCCAGGTCGCTTTGCAGATGCAGCCAAGAGTATGACCCCCGCACGGAACGTCGGGATGGCTTGCAGAGAATGCGGGGTGCGTTCCGAGCGGAAGCTATGGGGTTCCGAGTAGCAAGCAGTGTCGTTCCCGAACCGTTCCCTGGACTTTTGGACCTCTCCAGGCCCGATAATATGGCATGAGCAGGCATTGCCTTGCTTGAAAGTCGAATGCCAAACGTGGCTTGGACTTATTCCCCTATTTTCTCAACTACAACTAGATACGGCAGACAGACGTGTCAAAGGTAAGAGTAAAGATATCGCAGCGGTTCCTTATCTTTCGCCATGAGTCAGACAGTGAACAAAGACACGTTCAACAGATATGGTGATTCTCTCTACAAGGATGGCCGGCATCATCACAAATGACCAATCAGGTGACCAAGTACCTACCTTACTCCTCATAGGTGTCCAACACTTCTGCAACATCAGGACCTTGCCTCTCGTCGATCACGGAGGGGGCTGCTTATTGTTGTTTACTGAGTCTGTGAGGCGTGTTGCATTTGGTGACCCCCAAACTCCCAACTGCCCTCTCTCGGAATGCGGAAATCGCCCATGCTCCAGTATCTCGCTTCTCGACGAGAACGGTCAAGCGCCGCCACCGGGCATTGTCACCAATTCCTCAGCCCTGAACGCGATTCCCATCCAACTAGAAACACCAAGAGCCTGTTAAGATCAAAGCATTAGCAATAGTTATTCTGCTAGGCATTGTGCCGCTGCTGCCGCATCATCAAAGCCAGACTGGCGCTGATAGTTCGCGCTGGGTAATCCCAATCCCCGACATACCCGCGTGACTATCAGTTTGTCACATCCCCTTACTCTTCAAAATTCTGCATCCGCCGTGCCCGGTACCCCAATTCCGTGTTCCGGACTCGAAAAGAAATAAGAAAGAAAGCAAACAAAGTTGTGTAGGAAACACTCAACAACAAGAAGCGATTCAGACAGAATGGCTCGAAACTCCATCATGGATCAGAACGAAACAAAGACCGACGACCAGCTCAAGGCAGTTGATAGCATCCCCGGCTATCTAGTCCTTTCCGATGAAGAACGGCTCGCGCAACTCGGCCATCAGCAGGAGCTGAAGCGGCAATTCTCTCTGACAACCTTGGGGGCATTATGCCTATGTCTTATGGCAACATGGGAAGCACTTTCCACTGTCATTGCTCAAGCACTCGTGAATGGCGGTGCGCCATGCCTATTCTACAACTTGTGAGTTTATTTAACCACTCTATTCTGTGTCTGTCACGCAGTGGAGAACTTTCAAGTCGTCGAACATGGGTTGACAATCTGCTCAGTGTTCTTTCCTTTCTGTGCTCTGTGTGCATAGCATCATCTCTTGGCGAGATTGCGTCCATCTATCCTACTGCAGGAGGTAAGCTTCTCTGAAACCCTGGCCTCTACCTTCTCAAAGCTAATTACTCCATTCTAGGTCAGTATCATTGGGTCGCCGCCTTGTGTCCCCCTCGTAGCCGATCACTCGCAGCCTTCACGACCGGCTGGATCTCCGTGGGCGGCCTCATTGTCTTCTGTGCATCAGCGGCGTTTGCAGCTGGCCTGCAGACCCAGTCCTTGATTGTCATCAACGACGACTCTTACATACCGGCACGATGGCAGGGCATGTTGTTCTACTGGGCTGTGCTCCTATACTCAGCGGCGCTCAACATCTGGGGATCAAAGATGCTGCCCCACGCAAACATGATCTCAGGTGAGGAAGACAAGAAGAATAAACCTTAAATCAATTTACGCGAACCTTCGCTAACAATGCCAAGGTATTCTCCACGTTGTGGGCTTCATAGTCATACTGGTGGTTCTTGGCGTCATGGCTCCCAAAAATACCGCGTCCTTCGTCTTCACCGAAGTTGTCAATAGTAGCGGCTGGGAAAATGATGGAGTGTCGTGGCTCGTGGGCTTGATTAGCGCGGTGTATCCTTTCCTTGGGTAAGTTTCCTCTATAAACTATTTTTCCACCTAAGATCCCCTCAATGGGTTGCTGACTTGGTTCACAAAAGGTACGATGCTGCTTGTCACATGGCCGAGGAGATCCCCAACGCCCCACGTAATGTCCCCATTGCTATGGTTGGAAGCGTAACTGTGAATGGCCTGATGGGCTTCATTTACTGCACAGTCCTCCTGTTCTCGACAGGGTCACTGGAGTCCCTCTTGACTACACCAACTGGCTTCCCCTTCATGCAGATTTACCTCGATGTCACCAGATCTCGGGCTGGGGCGACAGTGCTCTCGCTCCTGGTGATCTTGATCGCAATTGCTGCAACAGTAGGCGGCATTACCTCCGCTTCCCGCACGCTCTGGGCCTTCGCTAGAGACAGAGCTGTTCCATTCGACTCGCATTTCAGTTACGTCAACAAGAAACTTCAGGTCCCAGTAACTTCAATAGTCTTTGTTACTGTGGCCCAGATCCTTCTCGGCTTTCTCTACTTGGCCAACACTACTGCTTTCAATGCAGTCTTATCTATGGCGATTATCGGCATCTATCTTTCCTACAGTATTCCTATTGCTTATATGTTGTTCGTCGGCAGGGGCAAGCTCACTCGCAAGGAGTACGGGCCTTTCAGGTTGGGCCCGGTTGTGGGTCCGGTCTTGAATGCGATCAGTCTTGTCTGGATGACTGTTGTCATCATTTTCAGCACGTTCCCTTCATCACAACCGGTCACTGCCCAAAACATGAACTATTCTACTGTTGTCATGGCAGGCTGGTTAGTCTTCGGTCTTGCTTATTATTTCATTCGAGGCCGGGCGAAGTTTGAGGTTCCAGTTGTAGTATCGGATATTGTGGAAGGAGTTCGGGACAATTGAGCGTTAAGGTCGGTCCAGGGAGCTGTCACCTCATGATTAATTACTGTCTTTTATACGGCCAATTTGTTTCAATCTTCTGCGCTACTATCAAAGCATCGTCGGAAGGATTGGCTTGGAGACCTCTGTAGTGCCGTACGTCCTTGGCCAACGTATATGTGTGTTCAATCGAGATTGGATTCTAGCCATGTACTCCCTTATCTGGTTGTAAGTATGGTGAAATACAGGCGCTTTCAGCTAGTATTATACGAAGCATAAGTGAATACATCACAACATCTTAGTGTTGAACAACTTCCAATCTGTTTCTCCAAAGGAAAGAGACTTAGAGCTCATGCGAACTAATAAAGGCACAAACAAGTGACGAGATCGCTTGAAAACACTTGCCTTACACAACGTATCGATGCAAGGTGCTATCTCCTCAACCTCTTGATACAATATGTTTCATATATAGTTGCCCTAATGATACGAATTCCAACCCGCTTATGACAGTACACATTACTCCGGCCTTTTGAAGTGGGACACCAGTCCCGTCCAACTATCTTCGCTGTATCCTTTCTGAACCTTCTGGCATGTCTCCAAGCCCCAATCCGTCACTCCAATCATCAGAGAGCTCTCAAACATGAAAGCCATACTTCCTTCGCCGATCTTCTGCGGCTTCAACTCGGCATGTGACGCCCTCTCAAACGTGCTAGCATCAGGGCCATGGGCAGACATGACGTTATGCAGACTTGCTCCAGCAGGCTGAAAGCCGCCACCAGTCTTTGCGTCATAGTCGCCGCAGATGAGGCCCATGAACTCAGACATGGTGTTTCGGTGGTACCATGGAGGGCGGAAGGTGTCTTCCTGCACAAGCCAACGAGGCGGGAAGATGACAAAGTCGGCCACAGCCGTGCCTGGGTGGTCTGACGGGCCAGTGAGAACCGTATAGATGGATGGATCCGGGTGGTCAAATGAGATGCTGCCTATGACGGAGAAGCGCCCAAGATCGTACTTGTATGGGTAATATTGTCCATGCCACGCCACAACATCGAATGGCGTGTGGTTCTGCGTTGCGATAAAGAAATCTCCGTTGAACTTATTGACAATTGACCACTGACTTGCGTCCTCATCAAAGGCTGCCGTCGGAACTTGGAAGTCCCGTGCGTTGGCCAAACAGTTGGAACCGATAGGGCCTAATTCCGGGAGTACAAAATGACCTTGGTAGAGCTCAAGGATGTATCCTCGGACTGGTCCGTTAGGTAGGTTGACTTGGTATCTGATACCGCGTGGAATGACGGCAATTTCGTTGGGACGAACTAGCAGGTTGCCCAGCTCGGTCTTGATGTCAAGCACACCATGCTGGAGGACAATCAACATATCTCCGTCAGAAGAGTACATGGCCATGTTGGAATCCATGCTTCGACCAGCAGCAAAAATGAAGATCCCGAGACCCGTCTTCATGCTGGGATCCCCGGCACCACCGACTGGTCTGAGGCCGCTGATCCAATCTGTCTCATTGTTGATGTCAAACGGATCCCAGCGCAACTGATTCGGGATTTGGTGAAGTTTGCCTCCGGAGTCAGGTCTGTTCTGCCTCAACGGCTCGAACGTAGAGTGTGCGGCCGCTGGAATGATACGATAAAGCCAAGTCTGAAGGTTTTCATGACGAGGTGCTGTGAACGCAGTGCCGGATAGCTTCTCGGCATACAAGCCGTATGGCGCTTTTTGTGGAGAATTGGCACCGATAGGAAGAGCCCCTTTGATCGCTTCTGATCTAGATGATTGTTGGTCAACACCAGGTTGACGAAATAATGGAGTTCGGCACTAGTACTAATTCAAGAAGCCTGAACTTACTCATGAAGAGACCCAAATCCATTGAGATACTCGTACTTCTCCTCAGTGGAGAAATTGGTCACAGGCATGGTTGTATACTGGATGAGGAACGTAGTCCCGAAACACAGTTATAGTCGTGAAGATTGATAAGGTAGGCAATGAATGTATCTTGAAAGCATGCCTCAATTGTTTGGTATGAAACAGCGCTTATCATCTCCCTCGAATGCAAATCTTATGTAGTATAAGAAGCCTTGGTTATCTGCATGTTTGGGGTGGCACGTGTGATTGGGATGCGCACATTGGGACAGCACCGCTGCAGTCGAAGCGACCAACCCCGCGTTGCAGTGATCCGAAGGGAAAGGCAAATGAGACATGATGGAATCAATGCTACGGAACTAACTGTCACGGAAAATTACTTTCACTGCAAGATGCAGTGTTTGAAGTCAATTCGTGCGTCCACTCGGAACTGCGGAACACAAACGGTTCCGAATAAGTTGCGGCTCATGAACACGGCAACGTTCAGGGCGTGGACATCTAGAGGAGGGGAGATACGATTACATCAGATCTCAGCTAGACCTTGAGCTTCTATTAGCTAAGTGACTCAGCTGTTGCATAACGCGAAGGAAGCCCCAAGCCCGCCAAATGTCTGCAGTTGGGGAACAATGCAATAGCTCATTGGCCACCTTCTCGGAATGGACTCGTCATGCAGCCATAATTTTCGAAGTTCAGTTTCCCTTGATGACCAGTTTTGAAGAAAATACATCCAGTATTAGAATCTGCAAAATACCAGTTGGTTGTGCCTGACCATCACTGTTCGATAACAATGAGCAAGATATAGCATCTTAAACATCCGCACTTCCCAGCTGTGGTATTATGTGACTTTGATGGCATGATGTATTGACTATGTAACTCTAAAATCGCCAATTTTTCATAGGCCTCTCATTGCATTACATTGCAATTGGAGGCAGTATTTGGCCAACACACTCTCCAAATCCAACTAACTGACCATCCTGTTCGCCAGCCCAGCCTCGAATAACTACCGTATCGCCGTCTTGGATGAATTTCCGCTCTTGCCCGCCATTCAGCTTGATTGGGACTTTGCCTCCTTGAGATTGCTCCAGCAAGCTTCCCTGCGTCCCTGCTTGGTCCCCTGAAATGGTACCAGATCCGAGAAGGTCTCCAGCACGAAGATTACAGCCAGAGATTGAGTGATGAGCCACCATCTGCGGCCAGGACCAGAGAAGATTCTTGGCAGATGTGCGAGTAACAGTTGTTTCCTCGCCTTCTGAAGCTGCATCGTGTAGAAAAGCGTGCTTAGATTAGCCTGGTTTTTTTTCTAACGCAGCACATTTGCCATATGTGTATGGTAGTCGGTAGGTTTCAACTTACGAGCAAGAGTTACTTCTAACTTGATGTCAAGAACGTTGTCAGACCGATCTTCTTGGAGATACTTCTGCAATTGGGTTTCGTTTTCTAGCCCTTTTGTTCTGAATGGCTCGAGTGCGTCCGCAAGCACGACCCAGGCGCTAATCGTGGTTCCGAAGTTCTTCGCGTTGAACGGACCAAGGGGTACATATTCCCATTGCTGAATATCTCTTGCACTCCAGTCGTTCATCAAGACGTAGCCGAAGATGTGCTCGTCGGCATCTTTGACAGACACCGGGCTACCAAGGTCGTTCGGCTTGCTTATAAACATGCCCATCTCGAGTTCAATGTCGAGGCGCGCACATGGCCGGAACACGGGCTCGGTTGCGCCAGGGGCCGGCAGCGCCTGCCCCCAAGGCCGTCTAAGAGGAGTTCCAGAGACAACGACTGAGCTTGCACGACCGTGGTAGGCAACGGGCAAATGGCTGTAATTCGGCTGAAGGGCGTTGGCTGGTCCACGGAACAGAACACCGACGTTGTGAGCGTGGTTTCTGCCCGCAAAAAAGTCTGTGTAGTCTCCAATGGCGAACGGGAGGTGCATGGACACCTCAGAAATGGGCCTCAAAGCCGCCTTTTTGAGGGGTTCATTGTCCTTCAACACGTCTGGATGAGCTGTGTCGTTGAGAAATATGTCCTGAAGGTATGAACGGACGGCGCGATGCACCGGTCGGCCAAGCTCGGCAAAGGCATTTAGGGTGGGCTGTGAGAACGTTTTTGCATGCTCGGCAGACACATTTGCTGCTTTACTGAAACCTCCGCCCGTAGCAAAAGCATCAAGGTCGAGGATGTGTTCTCCGATGGCGATAGCGGGTCTGTGTAATTGCTTATCTTTGCTCGAAATCACCCCGAAAGGAATGTTCAGCAGCGAAAAGTGCGACCGGGGTGGGATGGGGAGCCAGGACTTCATCTTGCGCAATTAGACGTGGAAAGTCTCCAGCAATTCTGTTGAACGAATACCTTAGTAATTCGAGCTTGTTTGATCCCGCGTATTAACATGCTTCTATTTACATTTCCATGATTGCCCTGACAGCCATTGAAATGGTGGGTTCCGAGAATCCGAAATTTGGTTCCGACGGCTCGGAATGCAAACAACCCCCTCATTCAATCACGAATCTGCCGCTGCCGGCGGTTCAGGGATCTTCGGCAATGGAAGTTTCTCGGCTTCTGTGTTATCTGTCCGAGTGTAAAAACACCCGACAAGAAAGTCGATCTGCGGGAAGGTTGGGTCTGCCAAGTTCCAGTCTTAACGTCAGCTATTGATCGAATTACACGATAGTTACGACAACACAACGACACCAAATTGCCTCGTGACTTTTGATACTCTAGAAAACCCAAGTCATTAACTTCACGGAAATGTCTGAACAAATTACGCGAATCACTCTTTTCAAGATCCCAGACGAGGAGAATCAAAATAAAGTATTGTCGCTCTATCAGCAGATGCCCCAAAAGGCCTTGAAAGTGAGTATGCTGTTGTTTACGAGGTCAATTTCCATCTGGAAAGCACTGTTTCGATATTGTATCATGAGCTCTGAGCTTACCAGTTGTAGGATGGCAAGCCTTACATCATCTCAGTGAAGGCCGGCCTAGCTGTTGCTGATCAAAGGGCCCAAGGGTTCACGATTGCGGCTATCTCTACATTTTCATCAAAAGAAGACATGGATTACTATGACAACGGCTGCGCAGCACATCAAGAGCTGAAGGGAGTTGCTAAGGGTGCTCACCAGGGCTTTGCCATGGTATTTTTCAAGGGTTAAGTGACAAACAAACTCAGTTGCCATCAACTATAGCCTAGAAAATATTCAGTGATCCGAACTTTTACCATTGTGGCCGAGTTTCAAACAGATCAAAGGAGACCAATGACTTGTAGTCGTGTTCAGGTGTGATCTCAACCGAGAGTGTATTTCATGATCCCCTGCCTCCCGACGTATGTACAGTATATCTGATGGTATCATGTCACTTGAAGATGGAAGAGCGCAATGTGCATAAAAAGCTGAGAGCAACAATGCCATTCTTCTTAGATTATAATTAGAAGTTCAACTCCAAATCCATACAATGCCGTACAAGGACGGTGCGGAAAATGGCGACTAGGCTTTGTATACGTCGAATGAGATTTCTTCGGGGACTTCGACCAAGGAAATCATAATTGAATGCAACATGCATAATAACTCCAGCATATAACAAGAACGTAGAGTTCCGTCTCATTCAAATGAAACCTGCATCAAACTAAGATTCTCCGACAGTTACTCACTCACTCCTCATGCTTCCTCACTTCGATAGCCTAATGCACGCAAAGACATGCTCGGGTTTCTCCTGGAAGTCAATCTGCGTCATTTGTATTCAACTTTCTTAGAAAGTCATTAAGTACAGTTCCTTTGGACTGAAGGGAAGTTTCTCACTTACGCTTGAACAGCTGATGCCACTGGGTTCTCCATTGATGAGCGTCTTCTCTCAGCCGATCCAGAGTGGAGGCCAAAGTTGAACCACTTCAGTTGGTATCTCACCAAAAGCTTCCGCCAGCGTTGTAATTGCAGGGTGCATTTGCAAACCTTCTCAAACAAGACACCAACAGCTTTTCAGAGTCCTTGTTAGTGGTTACCCACGGATCTTGAGACATAGTCTTGATTGCTAGATCTGGCTGATTTTGGAGGCCTTATGGTTGGTGTCGGGCACTTATTCCATTCCAACAATGACGGTAGCCCCCAAGCAAACATGGCAAGGTGGCAAGCGCCTACTTGTTTCCAACAGCATGTTGGCTATCAGGATACGTGCCTCTCACTTTGCGCACGAATCACAGCCAGAACAAGATGTGGAGAAACTGAAGCCGCTCGTGCCTGCTCCCTCCAACGTCCATCTGCACAAAACGCCTCGCCATGGACATTGAAAGATTTGACCTAAGTTCTCCCAAGAGATACTACGACTCCTCGAGCATTACCTCCCGTCGCGTATCGATACACATACTTCTTGAGTTGTGTATACTTGGTTCGGCGCATCCCCTATTTTCCTCCTCACTCTGACATAGATAGAGCTTGCTCCTCAGCCCGGGCGTCTCGACATATTGATCATCGTTCCCCGGGTAGCCTCTCCGCCGTGTATTCGGATGGCAAGGACAAAACTCGATGGATCTGTCAAATATGCGCCTATCTATCTACGCCGTCTTATATGGAGGGCCAATGTTAGAGGACATCGAAACTGGCGAAGTCGTTAATCCTCCGGAATTGGAAGATTTCGGCGACTTGGAGGACAATTTGAGATGGCTCACAGAAGCCCGTTTACTTTGCGATCCTGACGACGAGTTTGGGAACCTCCTTCCAAACTACGCACAAAGGCTTATACATCAGTTGCCAGGATTTGACGATTTACCTCACACATGTGATATTCGGCCGAGATCTCAAGCTTCAGATATCGAGGTTCTTGTTGCTGAAGCAAATGAAGCGCTCAAGTTCCTCAGAGTTGACCCCGACGGTAGCAGACAGCGTATCAGTCTCCATCTTGACGAGGGGTACACATTTGATGACCGGATCTACGCTGTTGTCCACGCCGAATGCTTGGACATCGCTGAGCGAGTATTCGCGTCCTCAACGCTATCACATGTGCGAGATCTGCGTGGTTTGTGGACAACTCTAAGGTGGAGACAGAGCATCACTTCTAAATGCTCAGGCTCGTCGGGTTATTTTCTCCAAGCAAACCACACTCTCAGCCGCAACGACTATTATGTGCCTCAATCCACCGTGGCTGGTGAGCCAACCTGGGAGGAAGAAGATTTCTCCGGGTTGGATTGGCCTGGTCCTTATCCTTCTACTCTATCAAATCTATACTATGTAAGTGCAAGTCATGCTGTCTGCACCATCGCTTGTCATTGATATGTACATAGACTCTCACTAGTAGCCCCTTGGAAATCGAAGAGCTGACGAACTGCCTGCTCCAAAATCTACGCGTCTGCCGATCCAATGTCACTCGAACCAAAAAGGACACCATGCTTACCGACAACCTTTCCAAGCTACCGACCGAGATCCTCGATAACATTATCGCGGCTATGGGGCGTGACATGCCTCCCGAGTCATCCCACCAGTTACCCCAGAGATTATGGAAGGATCAACTCAAGGTAGGCTCCCGCGGTCTTCTACCCTGGCTGTGGGATATTGACCCAGCTTGTGTCGACGCAAAAGACTCTGAGCCCTGTCCTGGTGGTGAGTCCTTCGAATGGGACTGGAGCTGTTGGTTCGGCAGCTCAGTCGGGGCGTCGACTAAGGGGTTCTCCCAGATGTACCTGACACTATCAGGGCCACACCCGGTGTCAATGGTCCTCAAGGCAAACCAACTATGGCAGGGATTGGCTATGATATTGATTTAGCCCTTGTACCCGGTGATCTACACAACCGACGTCGCATATGGTAGCTGCTCGAAGAAATGTCCGTCGGTGATACATTGCCATGGCCGGCTAGACAACGCTGCCGCTATACCTGCTGGTCGCGCATGGAGACGCAACAGCAGGGCGTTCCCTTGTGCTGGGACAAGACTGGAAATATTTTGGCCCGTCCGATTTTGCTTCCTTGCCCGAATTTGGATACTCGGATATTCCAACAAATGAGGGCCATCCCATGTTCTTGAAGAGGCTTGGGGGTGGGGTATATATGAGACGCGGCAAGGCGAGACCTCAGTACTGGCAGCGATGTGGAGTGGAGAAGAAGCATGGTAACGAGACTGATGAGACTAAGCAGCAGGGCGATGCTGAGACTCCGCCAGCGACTGATGAAGAAATTTATGCCGTCCTTCGAAAGTTGGGATACCCAGTTTGACATGCCAGAGCAGTACGAGTAGATGCCTTGCCCTCGGCAGACGAGTGCGTGTTGAAATCCCTTTCGCGACAAATAGAGCACGTCTATTACTGGCTGAGGTGAACAACCAATAAAATCCCCCTAGTGTGATCCAACATGCATGATGCAGGCTGCCTCTCTGAACCACCTCTTCTTCAACACACTCATGCCCTTGGGAGCCTTTTAATCCTCGCTCAAACCTATCCGTCGTACAAAAGTGTTTAGTTTCAAGCAAAAGCCTAGTAAAGACAGGAGTTTATGTCTTCATTACACCGCCGTATAGCGCAAACATGTTCACTCACGCCCCCCTCAATGAAAGTCGCCGAGAAATCAGGCTCGTCAGAATCCGCCCCCCGCCCAACGAACAAGTCAGCGCCAAGAAGACGATCGCACTCGAAATCAAACACGCCTCGCTAGACGAGCCGGGACTGTCATACGCGGCACTCTCGTACGTGTGGGGGATCGCCACTGACACAACGTCGATTGAGATCGAAGGTGCCTCTTTCAGTGTCACCTCGAACCTTCATGCCGCGCTCCAGCAACTGCAAATAAACTCGGTCGACTCCTGGCTCTGGATAGACGCGCTCTGCATTGAGCAGGCTAACCTAGAGGAGAAAAACTGGCAGATCGGTACTATGCGGGATATCTTCAGCGGCGCCGACATGGTCTACGTGTGGTTGGGCCCCGGAACCGAAAACAGTGATTTAGCTATGGACTTTATTTCCCGGACTGGAACCACACTCAATAAGTACGACGCTGTAGACTTGAGGTCGAAATTCAGGGATAATCAAGAGGTCAAGTTATACATCCAAGAGCGCTTCTCTACCCAGGGCGAGGCAATCAATCCTACCGAGTCAATGACGACCATCGAGGAAGCTTATAGAACGACAGAAGACTCCACACCAAAGGAAAATCAGAGATCGAGGAAAGAGAATGCCTGATAAGATTTAGGCTGGCCGTATACGACATCTTCTGTGACTTTTTCGGACACCGTTCACGAGGAATAAGCGAGGCGATTCGTGATCTCCTTGACCGAGAGTACTGGCAACGCATCTGGATCATTCAAGAAGTAGTACTCGCGCGGAGCGCCTCTGTTGTAGTTGCTGGCAATAGAAGCGTCTTGTTGGATATTTTCGACGCTGCTCTCAGGATATTGTGGGATCATCGGGGTGCAGTCCATCTCGACCATCCATCCTGGACCAGGTTTACTTTACCGATATCAGGAGCGCTCAGAGGATTGAAGTCTCTGGGAGTGCGATACCAACGTCGACGAGGTGTTCGCGTAAGGCTGGAGAACATCTTATGGGAGCTGACCGTCGCCCCGGAGCGGCCTCATTACTCTGCCACGGACCCGAGAGATATTCTTTTCGGATTACTTGGCATACTCGAAGAAAACGAGAAACAAAGCTCCCGAGTAGACTACTCGCTTTCCAAGGAGGATGTATTTGTCAATATCACAACCACTATACTTGATTCTCCTGGTGGCGGGTCCTCCCGCTTTCGTCTCGATTCCACAGTCCCAGGAGACCGAAATGGGACGCTCCCAACATGGGTGCCAGACTGGCAAGTCATTGGCCAATATGGTGTGTCCACATGGCCGATCAGCTACAGCCATGAATTTGAAGCAGCCGCACAGAGAAAGCAGCGACGGAAAGCTTCTGACTGTCTGGTAATACAAGACGGCAGAACTAGCATACTCCAGGAAGGATGTTACGTCGATAAAGTCACGGAAGTGATGGCTCCTCCCGTATGGGAGCAGGTCGATGTCTACACTGCGCCCACGTTGAAAAGGCCCGATGACTGGTTCCTTTCGGTTATTGAATTCGCCGGTCTTGGGCCGGAGCCTGACCCTGAAGAAGACCACATTTGGCGTATACTAAGGCGCGCCGATTACCGGAAGATCAAGGACAATCATCGCTACACGATCACTGCGGAAGTCACCGACCTTTGGCGGAGAATCATGCGAGTCCAGTCTCTAGATGCGGCGACGTTGACCACAGAAGAGACGGTGTTCATTATTGCAGACACTCGAAGCCGCAACCCCTCGAGATCCCATGAATACATCAGTGTAACTGACGAGGTTCTAAGCTGGTTTGCGCAAGATGCGCGAAGATATTTGGGCGCGATCAACAGGAATCGCACGCTCTTCAAGACTGCAAAAGGGAGGGTTGGTCTCGGGCACGTTGGAGTCGAGGTAGACGATGTGGTGACGCTGATTTGGGGGGCATCTTGTCCCATTGTCTTGAAGGAACGGTCTGAAGGGCACTTTTACTTCGGGGGGGACGCATACCTAGACGGCATGATGTTCGGTGAATTCCTTGAGACTGAGCCCGCAGAGGTGGAGTTTAGGATATTTTGATGGGAGGTGCCAGCTGAGCGCATACATATCAACACTGACAACGCAACACGAGACAGGTAGCAACATCAACTTGTAACTTTTTGTCTCATTAACATCAACAACATGTCGACATTCGTGAACATCTTTCCTCCCCTATATCTAAGGAGCCCGGTAACGAAACCGGGACTCTAGCACTGGAGCACTGTGGGAGGGTTCAGAACCATCCCGCGCGTCTCTTTCTCTCTCTCTATCTAGCCTGTGTATGGGATCAAAAACTTTTATAATAAAGCCCCGACCTCCAAAATATGACAACGTAAAAGCCCGTTCTCCTCCACCCCGCCCCATCTTCTTGTTTTGCCATCCCTCGGCCCCAGGAGCCAGATGAGAGAAAAGATAGAAAAACCTTGGTCGGGTCGCCGCGGGAGGACAAAAGGGGAGGGGGAGGAAAATCATTCATTTCCATTCATGGACACATACAGCCATTTTCCTCACACTCTTACACTCTCACATATAAAAAAAGTGGAGGGTGCGTCGCGTGATTTCTGCAATTACGTCGACCGGGGGAAGACAGCCTTGCCAGCAGCCTTGGCGGCGGCGAGGGCGCCAGACAGGCCGAACTGGGAAGAGAAGCCGTCGATGCGGTGGGTGGCGTTGAGGTTCTTGACGACGACCATCTGGAAGCAGGTGGCGCTGCCCTGGCGGGAGGCGATGACGGACCAGGCGAGGAAGAGCTCCCAGATGCGGTACCACTTCTGGCCGTACTTTGCGTGGACGGTCTCGGAGTTGCCGAGCCAGTTGCGGTACCAGCGCCAGAGGGTGCCAGAGTAGTGGACGCCGACGGTGTCGATGCTCTTGATCTCCCAGCCGGCGCTCTCGAGGCAGCCGACGTAGTTGGCGAGCGGGGTGGAGGCGTCGGCGCCGGGGAAGATGTGCTTGTTGAGGTAGAGACCCCAGATGAAGTCCTCGTACTGCCAGGCCTTGCGGAGACCGGAGAGCTGGACGTACATGGCGCCGTCGTCCTCGAGCATGTCGTAGCACTGGCGGAAGAAGGTGGTGAGTCTGCGGATACCGACGTGCTCGCCCATCTCGAGCTGGGAGATCTTGTTGAACTTCTTGGTGGGGATGTCGCGGTAGTCCATGCAGAGGATCTGGCTCTGGCTCTCGGGGATGCCGGCGCGGCGGAGGCCGTCGTTACCCCAGGCGGCCTGGTTGCTGGCGATGGTGGCACCGGTGACCTTGGCTCCGTAGTTGACACTGGCGAACTTGGCGAGGGTGCCCCATCCGCAGCCGATATCGAGCATGGTCTCGCCCTCCTTCAGGCCGAGCTTCTCGCAAACGACGGCCATCTTGTTGTCCTGCATCTCCTCGAGGGTCTCCTCGCGGCTGAGGTCGGAGAAGAGACCACTGGTGTAGACCATGCGGGGACCGAGGAAGTAGGAGTAGTGGTCGTTACCCTTGTCGTAGGTGGGCTTGATCTGGTCCTCATCCTGCTGGCGGGAGTGGAAGATGACATCGGGAGCGAACTCGAGGAAGATGAAGCGGAACAGGGAGTAGGTGAAGGCGAAGTTGGACCAGTCGTGGCGGTACTCGAGGGCGTCGAGGAGGTCGCCGTTGATGTCGACGAGGCCCTCGGTGTAGAGCTCAGCGAAAGTCTGAATAGGGATCTTGTTGCGGCCGCTGTACTGCTTGCGGTCCTCCTCGTTCTTGAAGGTGAGGTAGTGCTCGACGGGGCGGCCGGGGAGCTTGGCCTTGTCGTTGATGCGGGGAGAGAACCTTGAGGAGACAGTCCAGAAGGCGATCAGGAGGGGGACGACGAAGAGGATGAAGAAGAAGATGAAGGTCTTGAGACCGCCGCCGAAGATGCGGGTGACCCAGAGGGGGACACCAGCGAGGACAGCTCCGAGGATCCAGTTGGAGAAGGATTCATTGCCGGGGCCCTCGGCAGGCAGAGGAGGGTTGTTGATGGTGGGGTACTGGACAGGAGAAGGTCAGCTTTGGGTCATAGACGCAGGGAGACAAAAACAATTGAGCTTGTCTGTGATTGTTCGCAGTCGATTGAGCCAATACACGGGTTAGGGGTTTTGGTAGAAAGTCCTTACGTTGGTGGTCTTGACACCGCAGTCCTCGCCAGTGCTGAACGTGGAGGGCTTCGCGGCAGGGGTCGCGATGAAGGTGATGTCACCCTCAAGCTGCGCGCCGTCCTTGCGCTTTTCGTCAGCCATGATGGACGATGTAAGCTGATGGTGCTTTGTTAGAAGGGAAAGCTCCGCGGTTTCGATTTTTGTCGCGCGCAGCTTCGTTGTCTAACCGCGTATCGGGATACAAAGGAGGAAAGGTGGTTGGAGATGTAGTTGGAGACACCGCCTGTGGAAAAGGTGTGGACAGATTTAAAGCTGGAGCTGTTTCCGACGCGGGTCGCGACCACCAACAGAATTTGGGGGGCCCTGGGCCCTTTTCGGGGGGGCTACGGGGGCCTACGGGGGGTGGTAACGGGGTGGTTTACTTGGCTTCTAGCAGCGTTCCTGTCTTGGCCTAACCGCATTGTGTGTTTCTCGGACGCCGCTGGGTCCGCTTTTGTGGGCAATTTTATGCAGGGGCGCTGATAAAAGAGGGCAACGTCGCACACAACTGGCTGAAGTGGCCCTGGCAATCCCAAGGACCCCTGCGGGCAATGCACCGCCAAGTCAGTTGAGGCCACGAAGTCACCAACTGTCAGGAAAGAATTCACGAAAAAAAAGTCTTCACCGCCCGGAGGTCGGAGGGGTATATCGTATAGGTGGCTCTTCTGGCCTTTCTAGACCGTCCAATCCTCCAAGGTCTCGACATTCCCCAGATCTTGGTTGAGACTTTGATAGCCAACCACACACAGCGTTGCACAGAACGGTAGACCGCAGAACCTAACCATCCAATTTCACCCTTCCGGGTTGTGGGTTTAAATAGCCCGGGCCTTCAACAGGACCTATCCATGTTGCGTCTTGAAATGATGATGGCCACGTTGAGCCAATCAGACAATGTCAATTTGCGAAATCAGCCAGGCCAGAATGAGCGGTGATGGGATTCAATCATAAGGTAGCGAAATGACGCCTCATTGTAATTGTGCCGTTCAAATATGCATCTTGTTTTTTGCATGATAGTAAATGCTGAATCCGATTTCGGCCGAGAAATGGCACGAGCTCAGGGTCCAAGAACCTTATCTCAAGGTGCCCTGCCTTATCAATAGCCCAGATTGCTCCGGATCCGATCCGGAGTTCATCCGGGTTCCCGGGTCCCGGGACGGCGTTGGTGGATACATCTTAAAGCAATGTGGGCCCCACTGTTGCCGACACCGGTCGCACTCTAGCAACGACAAGTCCGGCCCGGTTCCGAGCCATCGTTACATTGCAGACGGTGCTGGGACTTTAGTCGGAAGGATCCAACGCCTCGCATCGCTAAAAGGTAAATGCCACCCAAGCCAATCAGGAATGCAGCCTTTTGAGTGGGTCGTCCGTCATCAACAGGGCGTACGGAGTACCTTAACAGATCCAAAGTCCCGTAGTCCCTGATTCGTACATCTCCAAGACGTCCTCAGAGTGTTCTATAAAGTACTTGCGTAGATACATCGTTTACAACCGGGTTTGGTTTTACGTCTTCAGCTCGGTCTACAGTACCATACTACCGTGGTCCAACATTTCCAATCGCTCAAATTCGAAATCTCCATCACCACACACCAACATGTCCCTCTCAATCCACGAAGTAGCAGCCAGCGCAGTCCAAGCCAGGTCCCGCATCGCCTCCCACATCTACACAACCCCCCTCCTCCCAGCCCGCACAACAGGCCGCGACGCCAACGCCCGCGTCCTCTTCAAAGCAGAAAACTTCCAACTCACAGGCTCCTTTAAACTCCGCGGCGCAACCTCCAAGATCTCCGCATCCCAAGCCACCGACTCCGACTCTCATAACAACAAACAAAAGCTCATCACAGCATCCTCAGGAAACCACGGCATCGGCGCCGCCCACGCAGCTCACGCCCTAAACCGCTCCCTCACCGTCGTCCTCCCAGAAACGGTCTTCCCCGCCAAACTCGCCAAAATCAAGTCCCTCGGCGCGACCGTCATCCTCCACGGCGCAGAAACAGGTCTCGCGGAGCAACACGCCCAACACCTCGCCGCCTCGGAGGGTTACACCTACATCTCACCCTACAACGACCCCCTCGTCGTCGCAGGCCAGGGCACAATCGCTCTCGAGATCCTAGAACAGTGCGCCGCGCAGGGAATCCGCCCGCTCGACAACATTTTCATCGCCATGGGCGGCGGGGGACTCATCAGCGGCATCGGGTCCGTTCTCAAGGCATTTGCTCCGCACGTGAGAATCTACGGCGTCGCGGCGACGAATTCGCAGGCTCTTGCGGAGTCTATCCGTGCCGGGAAGGTTGTGGAGACGGAGCATTTGCCTACGCTTGCTGAGGCGGTGGCGGGCGGGATGGACGAGGACTCGATTACGCTGCCGCTTGCGAGGGAAGTGGTGGATCGAGTTGTTGGTTGTAGCGAGGAGGAAATTGCGGACGCGATGAGGAGGATCGCGGTGGAGGAGAATATGGTTGTCGAGGGGGCTGCTGCGTTGGCGTTGGCAGGGTTTGAGAAGGTTAAGGAGGATGTTGAAGGCCAGACGAGTGTTATTTTGCTTTGTGGGGGAAACGTTGATCAGGGGGTTGTGAAGAAGATTGTATATGGGCTGGACTAGCAAGGGTAATTTGGATCTGGGCTGTGTAGACTCTATCTCTTTATAGCTGCTGAACTGCTTCATAGGCATGGTAAGTGTCGAGAGTTTTATAGAGCTAGGCTCAAGATAGCAGCCATGGGCTAGGCAGGACAGAGCCAACAACATGTTAGATTTCCAATAGAGAAATATCAAATGATGTGATACGAATTATTTACGTATTAGGAGCATCGCAACTCCGAGACTACCAGGGCCAATTTTGTCCCTCCTTGATGATGTCAAAATATATCCAAAACTCCCAGACACCAGAGCCTGACCGAACCAACCCACCCAAACCTCCTGACCTCATACCATCTTACATCCACATCAAATTCCGGCTCTGCCTCCGGTTCTGCTGCCACAACGGCCTCTCCTCAGATCCATCAGCCCGTTGGCCCGCATTCGTCGCCCCAGCGCCAGCGCCGTAAGGGCTCCCATCCGTACCCGAACTGGTCGCTCTGTGTCCCCCTTCACCCCCACGCCCAACAGCGTCATTATACCCTCTGGAAAACTCCTCCATCTCGCCGTGGTGCGTGAGCGGGGTGTCGTCCCCCGTCGACCGGGACGCGCCGGACGCAGAGGCGCCGCTGGCGGGGTTATATCCTCCGTGGGGGGCGGACGACGGCGGGCTGTTGGCGGATCGGCCTCCGCTGATGGAGGTGGTGTTGCCGTGGGCGCCTGGCATCATGGATGGGTGGCCGTAGCCTGCCTGGTCGAACATCACCTCGCCGCCGGGCACGGGTGTGAAGTCCTTTTGGTTGGTTTGGGGGCTGCGAAGAAGTTAGTTTCGTTGACTTGATGATTATGGTGTCATGGACAGGTTTTGGACTTACACATAAGTGGGACCTTTGCCAGCGCCAGGACCGAGACGCTTGTTGCCACGCTTGCGCTTGCGCATCCAGAGCGCTACTGAGACGAGGGCGACGAATACAGCGCAGCCGCCGATAACACCACCGATAATGCCCCCGTTACGTCTCAGTCCTGCCGCGGCAGCCTCGGCGTTTACTGGAGGAGCGCTGCTAGTGGCTGCTGGCGCAGACGAGGTTGATGACTCTGATGACGTTGTGGAGGTGGTTGAAGATGAGCTGGTCGTGGAGCTGGTGGTTGAGCTCGAAGAGCTTGAAGTCGTAGAAGAACTGCTCGACGAGCTTGAGCTGCTGGAGGAAGAGCTACTCGATGAAGCGGTCTCCTGTCTCGTGACGAGGCCTGAGATGTGCGTAATGGCCACCGTGGTGCTGAGTCCTGAAGCAGTAGCAGCAACAGTCGTACCCTGACTTGTCGTGCCGCATCCATACTGGTAAGCACCGCCATCGAAACTATTGCGGTAGCAGACATTGGAGCCCTGGCAAGTGAAGATGTACGGATCCGAAGCGGTTTGAGTGGGGCTGTTCTCGTCGACACAGCTCGTGTAGACACCCGTCGTACAGGCGGCGCCGTTCGGGCAGCAGCCGATGGCCGAGACGGAAGCGTCCATGGCGCAGTGGGAACCAGCAGAGCATGTCGCCGGCAGATTTGGGTCACCGCCGAGGTACCCGCAGACTGTATTGGTGCTGTCATCCTGCCTCCTCATGATACCCAGCCATGGCGCCGGTGTTGCCAGCGGCCAGCTACGGACGTCCAATGTGCGGTAGGCGATGTGAACTTGAGCATGTTCTGTTTGACGGGGGAGAGCGCCGGCTTCGGTCAGGGCGAAGATATTCGAGAGAAGCAGTATCGCGGCCGTGTGCGGTAGCCGCGCGAAGCAGTCGTTCAATAACATCTTGGTGTTGTAGGGAACTCTGCGAGACGACCTTTTTCTCCTAGCTCGGCCCTTCCTGGGACTTTCCTTCCTTTTCCCTGTTCCGAAAAATTACCTCCGCTGAAGACTAGGATGAGTTATGACGAGAGTTGTTGCTCAATGGTATCCATATAATTAACGACAGAGCAAAGAGACAAAAGAGACTAGGAGAAGGAGACGTGAAATCTAGAGTGATGAGTAAAGGAGTACTAGGATAGGCAAAAAAGGAAAAGAATGAGAAGGAAGAAACCGATGCTGATGGAGGATTGGGCGACGGAGTGTAATTTAGATCGGAACAGGGACCTCTGGAGGGTGGAGGAGGGGGGTGTTCATCCTCCGGGCCCCCGGGGGGCGACGCCAACGAGGCTGACGTTGATTGGGGAGCTGTGTTTCAAGGATCCTCCGATCGTGAGCATACTAAGATTCGACTCTCTCACTCGAGAAAAGAACGGAAGGGGGAGGGGCTGCCGGCCCCTCCTGGGCCCCAAATGCAACAAGAAAGCATGCCTTACCGTCGTACAACAGCCCGCAGATTCGCACCGCTCGGGGCGTTACCGGGGGTCTGAAGATCTCTTGGGATCATACATTGGGGTCTTTGGAGGGAAACGTTTCTGCCGTGTACCGTGGCGATGAGAGACAAGCGCCCGCCCGGGACCAGTCCGTGCGGATCTGAGAACCGCGCAGGCAGCAGAAAGGCGAGGGAGGCTCGGTACCGGTGAGAGTGCGAGGTGAGGCTAGTGAGTTCGAGCTACGGATGCTACGTAAGAAAAGATGGATTGGCAGACGGAAGCTAAGAAAAAGGGAAGCCAGGAACAGGCGGAAAGCTTTGGGAAACTTTTTTCGTTCGCAATTTGCTTCTACCCACCTACCGGCCGAGCGAGTCGCTCATGCTTTCGACTGGCCTGACCTGAGCTGGTCTGAGTATGATCCTGATTGCTTGATGGGGTGAACAATAAGACATGACGAGAAGCCCGGTTGTGGTTCGTGAAAGAGTGATCGTCCCGTCGGGCTCGTTCGCCGCTCGCTGTGTCCGGCTGCAGACTTCTGTGCATGGCTCCCGTGGCCTCTGCAGGAGGTGATACAGATCATACAGACACCAGACAGCAGCTGGCCCCCAAGATGCCAAAGCTGTTGTTTCTCCTCTAGTGGAGCTTTGAAGTTGTACCTTAGCAAGCTCTCCCTCTCTCTTTCTCGTCACCATTGTCTGGAACGATCTTGGGGGCAGCCGTTGGTCTTCCTTCCACGGCCCTTTGTTCTCTCGAGGGTTGCCCAACTTGTCAAACTTGCATGTTGGTTTGGCCGTTCAAGTCCAAGTAGACAGGGATGAGAGAATAAATGATGGAAGAAGTCATTCGATGGGGGATATTGAAGGAGTTGGGGACCCAACGGGGGGAAATGGAGCTGGATCGTTGGATCGTTGGAGGGAAGTGGGTTTGGGCCAGAGAGCAGGGGCCATTGAGGCGCGTTTGTCCTCGCTTGTTTCCACTGCCTCCACCAAGCCAGATCCTCCGGACATTACATCGCCTATTTGCACTGTTTTGGATAATGATATATGCAGTTTAATCACAGTAGCACAGTGTCTGCTGATCGCAGGCTGGCGGCAGTCATGGTGCTTTTTTTAACACGCGCTAATTCCCGCGCCAGGTGGATCCCCGTGGCGATGCTGTCGAATCGTCAAATCAGATACCTTCCACATTACCTAATCAGGGTCTTACGGTACGTACACACACCACGACATTTGAACTTGCCGCAGCAGCATCATCATCCAAACCTGAAGTGCGATGAACTTATCACAATCCCCCAAAGTCTTCACCTGCGATTATTCGCGCAAGAATCAGAGAACAGATGTGCCGACATACTGCACACGCAGTCCATTCCATTCATGCATGCATGTCAGAAGCAACGCTGTGTTGTTTCATGACGACATTCCCAAGAGTCCGATTGGTGTCAGCACGAACTAGGCACCTGAGGTAAGGTAAGAAGCTTGTTCTCGGACACATCAAAGGTCCATCTAAACTGCCAAAACGCCCGAGCTATTACGCTACACTGATTGTACACATGATGCCACAATTTAGGGCAAGGCAAGTAGGTACCTTGGCTCGGAACAGTGGCAGTCATGTTCCCCCTCTAAACATGATGGCTTCTCCTAGCGCCAGTCCTGTCATTGCTGTCATATTCATCCGCCGCCAACGGCCTCTCCTCCATAGCAACATAGTCACCCTCATCACTATCCACCTCCAGGCCCGCCGCCTTTAACTTCTTCTTCTGCTCCCTCGCCGCCTTCTTGGCCAGCTTGGACTCCCTCTTGGCAGCCTTCCTCTCCAGCTTCACCTGCTTCTTCTCCTGCCTCGACAGCCGAGGGAACTCGCTGTTGTCGCCCCTGAGCACGATACCCGGATGCACAGCGTTGAGCAGCACGAGCGCGAGCACCATCGGCAGTGCGTCGAGCCCGAACGCGTAGTTCTCGTTTGTCAGAATCGGGTTGTCCATGTTCGCCCCCGGTCCGAACTCGACCAACCGAAAGATGATCCGGATCTCCGCGAAGAATAAGTGTCAGCTCGGTCCGTTCATCCCGTCTTCTTGTCAAACATGTTCTGTCATACAGGGGTGGGGGGATAAGGAGGTGCAGGTTGCAAAGACAACTAAGAAAAGAAAAGAGCTCACAATGATGAGAACCAACACCACAAACATCACCAACACCATGGCCCCGATCCGTTTCAAGTTGAGGTTGAATCTCTGTGCCCGCCTCATCTTGACGTAGAAGCGACCCATGAGCCCACAAAAGACGACAATGAAAGCGAGCTGCAGCCCGCACCCAATCATGTACACCTGCTTGCCGGTCCGCAGGATGGGGTCGTCCGATGCGACCTCCGTATTGGACATCATCGCGCCGCCCGCCCCTTGCACCAGGAAGCAGACGACGTCCATGGTGACAAAGATTTTGGTGAGGGCCGTCGCTTTGATGCGGAACACGCGCTGGTCGGGCAGGACGAAGTAGACGAGTCTGGCGGAGAGCATGTAGGCGAATGCATTGATCCCTGGACGGCGTCAGCTTTCTAGCTTGGACTTTGGCTTCTCGTCACGCAGATGTGATACGGAGCCATGCAGTGAAACTAACATAGTGGAGCGAGTAGGAACAAGAGCTGCCCGCCAATCTGGTAACCAATCTGCTGTTGGTCCCTGGCGCCGAGGGACCGGAGAACGAAAGCTATCAGTTCCCACGACGCGCCGACGCAAAGAACCCAGCAGAATCTCTGTCTCGGCATTAGTTTTGGAAGCCATTGTGACTGGAGGACGAGCAGCATTGCGTACCTTTCTGTAAAGAATGGCTTGGGCAATGTGCGCTACAAACGACATGCCAAAGAGAACGGTAAACGCGACGTTGCCTCCAAAGCTGGGATCAAAGGCGTAGTACGAGTTGCAGGCGTCGATCGGGACGTGTCCGTACTTGCCCGGGACTGCCGTTGTGCATGATGGCAACGATTCGGACGAAGTTACGCTCGCGGTAGACGCACTGGTAGATGTTGGTGTAGCCATGGATTGTCTACAGTGATTTGCGTGTGTTGAAGCTTGTCATCTGAATCCGTCCGAACTCACGTCCGAAGTCGTAGATGTTATATCCAATTCCCCCAACAAAGCGTTTGCTCTCCGACATGGCAGGTATTCATCACGAAATGCAGAATGAGGCTCAGCTCTGGGACTTTAGTATTGGTTTTACTCGTCAAATACAGCGCCGCGCCGCGTCACTGAACGAAAAAAGCCCCCCGAATCCTTCGATAAGCTAGGCAGCCACCCCATTGGATTCGGGTAGAGCACCAAAGTCCCGGTTCGATGGGGCGCAAATGCCAAAGTGCTTAAGCTCAGCCAGCCTTATGACTGATAACGTTCCGCAAGTTGGCGGCTGGCTCATCCTCCACCGTGACGCGGCTCTGTTGAAGCTGCTGCATCTCTAGGGCTGAAGTAGGTACACGGCGAAGCTCAATACGTGCATAAGGCGCTTGATAGATACTAAGGTAGATGACGATCGATGTGTATGTAGATCGAAAGCAAAGACAAGCCTCTTTGGTGGGTACTTCTGAAAGCCTACTTGCCTATTCTGAAATTTCTCTGGCTCGCGAGTGGACGATTGGAAGCCAGGTGTGGCCTGGTGAGAGAAGGGTCCATCGCGAATGCCACGAAAACGTAACGTAAATGGAGGAATGGATGCCGTAATGAGCTTGGCATCGACTGCCGTTTGCGAATATGAGACATTCACTTGGCACTGTGAACTGCAGCAAGATCTTGGGTCATGTCCCCATTACGTGGGTTCGTATGAAGAAAGATCTCACTGTGAGACTCCAAAGAAATGAAGCCATTGACAAGCTCAAGCGGTTATCGTCACAAAATGTGTGATGTTCCTGGCGCATCTTTTGTATTCTTAACATGGAAGGAAGCCGCTGACCTAAGGGACTGAGGTACTATGTACTGACGCTAGACTCAAACAGACGGAAACACCTGCACGGGCCAATGGCAGTCGGTTGATCCGACCCCGCGCAGGTCTCCACCAAAGTTCCTCGTTTCCAGTAAAAACAGGGTCCACTTTACCCCTGTTCTGCGCCGCAAAGACCTCCCGTTGCACTCCACTTTGGCACTGGTTGGAGACGGGAAGCTCAGCTATCTTCGTCCTCGGCCGACCGCTTCTCAGCATCCTGTTTTTTCTCTCTCTCTCTGTTGACCGCCTCCGTCTCGCGCTTTGCACCGTGGCTGAGTTGGGATCTTCCGCTTGCTGCTGCATGTCGTTGCCGTTGCTCGTTTGCTTCCGCAGCTGCAAGTGATAAATTACGCGGCATATCTTCCCGAGTACCTGATAACCAGATCAACCAGAGCGTGCTGACCGCTTGGCGACCCTGAATTGCTGACCACCGCAAAAAAGGAGGCATCTTTTCTCACGGCTACCCCCATTGGCCAATCCGAGTTGCGTTCCTCTGCTGCAGGATCGCATTGCATACACACGAAAGAAAGGCACCGAGTAAGCACCAGCCAAGATGCCTATCCGCGTCAAGTCCAAGAAAATGCCAAAGTCCCGGGACATGAGCCCCGTGTCCATGCACTTTGACACGTTTGAGCTGCCCGACATTGACACGGACGATACCTTCCGCGAGGTCGTCAAGAAGCTCTCAGTGTAAGTTTTGCGCCCCTTCGTCTCATAGGCATTTCCCCCGTTGAGAGCCGCGATGCTCTCCCACCGCCCGCCGCCCCTAGACGGAAAACGGTTGACCGAGTTTTTGCTGACTTGACGGATCCGGTCTAGATACTTCACCGATGTCATTGTTCTGCCGAGCACCTTTGAGCAGCTGCGTACCACCCAGGCCGGTGAGCCGTTGCGAGTCTTGGTCGATCACTTGAATGCGACCTGCACCAACCGGGCCATCGTCAACGCCCTGCTGTAAGTCAATCTCCCATGCCTCTCATTTACTGTATTCTCCCAAGAGGGTGAAGCGGTAAAACGACCGCACACCAGCTCAGTCTCTAACACATTCCAGCGCCCTAAAATGGCACTATGCGGTCGACGAGGCCGAGTCCAACAAAGGCCTCTGCGAAGCCCGCGCCAACGCCTGTGAGATTGTCGCTTGGCGCTTCCTCACCCGCCTCTC